TTATGGGAACCCTTCACATGAAAGAGAATGGAGACTAAGTATTTGATTTATTGCCTTAATGTACTACACTAGGTATAATACTGTGGACCTTCTTATAGACTTTCAACTGCCTCTTTCTCTCTCTTATATTTCGCTTATTGCTGAGTTGCTTCTCAACCTTCAAGGGACTAGATGATACAAGTTAGAAGTTTAGGACAATTAGGACCCAATGGGTTAAGCCTTGACTAGTGGAAAATTGGAAATGAGCTGGAAAAAAGTAAATATTTCTTTCCTTTCATTTGTGGACTCCTCCAAGATTCAATTTCTCCTTGTTAATTTTTTGAAGAAAGAATATAGAAATATTAAGCCATAGTGATGCACCAAGACACACTGCTTTGACATTTTCCTTCCTCATTTTTCCATTTCTTTCTTCCCTACCAAAAATATCCTTCATCTAGATATTTCAATTTAAGTATCAGTGCTTTATCCTTTTCCCAGACTTTATTTTCTGGAGGAGCTACTCTAGAATTGGTATGTTATTTGAAAGGAAAATGTATGAGTTCCTTTGAAAAATCTTGTTTGTTTCTTAAATTTCATATTAATTTATTTAATTGACAAAATTGTGTATATTTAGCTTATAATGTGATGATTAGATATAGTATGCATTGTGAAATGATTACCACAATGAAGTTAATTAACACATCCATAACCTCACATAACTACAATTGCTTTGTGTGTATGGTGAGAATGCGTAGATATTACTCTTAACAAGTTTCAAGTATACAATGAAATGTTATTAACTATAGTCACATGAAGTACATTAGATCCCAGAATTTATTCTTTTTTTTTAAATTAATTTTTTCTTTTAGATTTATTTATTTATACAAGCACTGGGTACAGTCAGGAGCACGGGAGGGTGAGAGAATTCACCAGAGCCAGAGCGGGGAGCAGAGCAGGCAGAAGGACCGAAGTACACTGCTGAGGGGAGCAGCGGGTGGCAGGAGAGGTCTGCGCGCCATGTGGGACCCTTCTCTGGTGGCCGGGGAGCAGCCGGGGATCGAACTGGCGCCGCAGAGGCTGCGGGCAGCTTCGCAACCCAGCGCTCAACCGCTGCACCACCGGGGAGGCCCCCAGAATTTATTCTTATAAATGTAAGTTTAAATCCTTTGACCAACATCTGACCATTCTTCCCAACCCAGCCCCCTGACAATTATCTACTCACTGTGAATATGAGCTTGATATTTTTAAAATAGTTACATGTAAATGAGATATCTGGTTTATTTCAGTTAGTATATTAGCTGAGCACATTTCTAAGACTCCTTTTAAAGTTCATTGTTAATCTCCTCTCCCTTTTGGGGCTAGGTAAACTAAGCATCAGGCTTAGTTTCTAGAAGAGAGTCTGGTTGACCTCCTTACTTATTCTCACTCTCGTTGGCCTTGTCACAAGCTTTTCTCTCCTCCAACTTGGTTTTGGAGTGGAGTCAGGAAAATATTTTTTTTTTCTTTTAAATATGAATTTTTTTATTTTTATATTCCCCATACAATTGCAACCCCCTGATTTTGACCCCAACCCCTCCTTTCCCCGCCCCCCCCCAAGTGTGTCTCTGGTTCATAGTTGTTTGTTGATTTTGATTTTTTTCTTTCTTATAGTTATTCTTTTTCCTGGTCCCTTATTTAAGTTTTCTAGATTCCTGCTATGAGTGAGACCATCCGGTATTTTTCTTTTTCTTTCTGGTTTATTTAGCTGAGCATGATCTCTCCCAGCTCCATCCATGTTGCTGCAAATTGCATGTGTTTATCTTTTTTGAATGCTGAGTAATATTCCATGGTGTATATGTACCACATCTTCTTGATCCAGTCATCTATTTTTGGGCATTTGGGTTGTTTCCAAAGCTTAGCTATTGTAAATAATGCTGCTATAAACATAGGGGTGCAGGTGCCCTTTGGAATTACTGTTTCTGTGTCCTTTGGGTAAATACCTAGGAGTGGAATTGCTGGATCATATGGAAGCTCTATGTTTAGCAGGTCAAGAAATCTCCACACAGCTCTCCATACTGGTTGGACCAGTTTGCACTCCCACCAGCAGTACAGGAGAGTTCCTTTCTCTCCACATCCTTGCCAACATTTGTTGTTGCTGGATTTTTTAATATGTGCCATTCTCACTGGTGTGAGATGGTATCTCATTGTAGTTTTGATTTGCATTTCCCTGATTGCAAGTTACGTTGAATATATTTTCATATGCCTGTTGGCCATTTGTATTTCCTCTTTGGAGAAGTTTCTTTTTAGCTCTTCTGCCCATTTTTTGACTGGATTATTTTCTTTGTTTTTGTTGAGTCTCATCAGTTCTTTGTAGATTTTTGTGATCAGGCGAAACACTACATGACATGCACCTCAAAGACATATTTACAGACGCATCACCCAAAGTAGTGATAGTGAAGGCAAAGATAAACAGCTAGGACTACATCAAATTAAAGAGCTTCTGCACAGCAAAAGAGACAATAATCAAAACAAAGAGAAACCCCACCAACTGGGAGAAAATTTTTGCACCCAACACTAATGATAAAGGACTGATCAGGAAAATATTTTATTTTTGAGACATACCATCCTAATATGGCTTCATGGTCTATGGACATGCATGATGTTTAATACTTTCTTTGTTGTGGAAACTTTGTGATTTCTGGAGGATGCTATGGCCCTCTGCAATTATGACTCAAAATTGCCAGGATTTCTCGAATCACTGATTCTCTCCAGTCCACCTTTAGCAACTATCTCTGGTTTTTCTTACTTCTGGTGTCACTCTGTCCTGTAAAATCACTTGCCGAAGCAGGAACTTGTAATACAAACACTGTAATAGAACCATTGAGGGTGAGTCTCCAGGATTTATCATAATTCAGCTAAGAAATGTTTTTTCATCCTTATATTATTGCAAGATCAATTTTTAAAATCAAATGTAATAAATTCAATAGCTCTCTGTTGAATGAATAAATAAAAAGCTGTTCTAAAATACAATCTTCCTGAACTCTGACATTCTATAATATAATTTATTTTTTCTTCCTAAATCAATCAGCCTTTTTCCTAGTCAGTTGATAGAATCAATCAACTATCAGTCAACCCTCAAGTATATGTTCAGCCTGTAACCACATTCTAGATGTTTTTAAAATTTAAGAGATTCCTATATAATGGTTTAGTTGCATAATTAATTTCTTAACACTATGTACTGTCACCAACTGAGCTAACCTCCATGCTGCAAAATTAACTTAAAAATTAGCTTAGTAACTAAGACTAGTCAGAATAAATAATTTAAGAATGATACCATATGTCAAAGGTATGGCGCACACTCTGCACAATAATCCTCACAAGACACAGGGAAGGGGAGTCTCTACCTTCTCTAATGTCGTCTTTTATACTTGACTTGATCTTTGATTCATAAGCCCCAACTTTATACTCATTTGTTAATTACCCTGCAGTATTTGGTAATTATTCCAAGAGAGAATCCAAAAGTCAGAGATAGAAGAAGGGACTGGAGAAAAAGGAGGAGACGATGAGAAAGTGGGCTGGTGAAGAGGACTACAGAAGAGAGGATTAGTTTTTGCTTGTCAGAACCTAGGTGCAGCTTGTGTGTGTGTGTGTGCGCACAAATTAAAATATCCAAAATAAGGATAAAGTGCTGTTCTCTTTTTGCTTTTACCATCTGTAAACATGGAGTGGGCTTCATTTTTTTAAATTTTATTTTATATATTACATCATTTTTTAAAAGATTTATTTATTCATTTATTTATTTGTTTTTTAATTATTTATTTATATAAGCACTGGGTACAGTCAGAAGCATGGGAGGGTGAGAGAATTCACCAGAGCCAGAACAGGAAACAGAACAGGCAGACCGACGAAATACACTGCTGAGGGAAGCAGCGGGCATGGCAACAGAGGTTTGCGTGCCATGTGGGACCCTCGCCGGCCGGCCAGGGATTGAACCGGCAGCGCAGAGGCTGCGGGCAGCTTCGCAGCCCAGTGCTCAACCGCTGCGCCACCGGGGAGGCCCTACATCATTTTTTAACGTGTTTTTTTTTTATTTTCTAAATCTTTTTAAAGATTTATTTATTTATACAAGAACTGGAGTACAGGTCAGAGGTGCAGGAGGGCGAGAGACTTCACCAGAGAGAGCGGGTAGCAGAACAGGCAGACGGACAGAAGACACTGCTGAGGGGAGCAGTGGGTGAGACAGGAGAAGTCTGCTGCACCATGTGGTTTTCTCCCTGGCTGGCTGGTAATTGAAACTGTGCTACAGAGGCTGCGGACAGCTTCACAGCACAGCGCTCAACACACCGCGCCACCAGGGAGGCCCGTTACATCATTTTGCATTTTTGCACAATGTGTGCGTTTTCATCTTGGTTATAGTCCCCATACAATTCCCTCCCCCCTTATTTTTACCCTAATCCCTCTCCCCCCTCCATGGACATAGAAACATTAATTCAAAAGGCCAACTGCACCACTATGTTTATAGCAGTACTATTCACAAAAGCGAAACTATGGGAACAACCCAAATGTCCAAAAACAGATGACTAGATCAAGAAGATGTGGTACATATACACCATGGAATATTACTCAGCAATCAAAAAAGATAAACTCATGCAATTTGCAGCAACGTGGATGGAGCTGGAAGGGATCATGTTCAGCGAAATAAGCCAGAAAGAAAAAGAAAAATACCAGATGATCTCACTCATAGCAGGAATTTAGAAAACCTAAATAAGGGACTGGGAAAAAAACTAATTATAATAAAGTAAAAATCAAAATCAATAAGCCACTATAAACCTGAGTTTCATTTTTAAGAACTTTGAAATGAAAAGAGTTAAGTGAAAGAGTAATTAATGCCCAAAATGGATTTCCTGATCATAATTAGAGAAGAAATCATAGAAAATATTTTCTCTGTGTAATTTTGTAATTTTCCTTCTTTCCCCTTTGAAATAGTAATCATTGTTACAAACTGAGGCTCTTGTAACTACAATGTCCCTTTGTCTTACCAGGGTATCGGTCTCACATTAACAACGTGGCTTGCTTCCTACAACTGGCTGGCATCAGCGCAGAGGTGAGGTAGGCAGTGCACGCCCCTTTATCCATCTTCAGCCACTTGTTTCTTCCCACTCCTTATGCCTGCTACCACATCTCGCTTAGATTAAAATGTAGTGGTCCCTTAGAGTTTAGGATTTTATAAAAATTACAAACACATCTAAAATTTTTTTAATTCTTTTCTAAGAAAAATGTATATAGACCAAGTTGTTTTTATACATTTAAGGTTATTATTGCTGAATTCTGATCGTCACCATATAAATATAATACAACTGCATATTCCATGTTCAAGAATTCAGAATGACACTAAAATAACTTAAATGAAATGCATTGAGGTATTAGAAATGCAAGGAGTGACCTATTGTCCTTTTTTCCTTCAATAACTACAGAAAGTTTTGAAATGTGGCTTTGTGTACAGTTTTGTCCATATTTTCCAAAAAGTTTCCTCAGTAATAATGTATTATATCTCTCTACAAACTATATCCAGGTAATTTTATAATCTGATTTTTAAATGTTAACTGAGAGGATATTTGTTTTTTATGATTTTGAGTTTATGATTTTTATAGAAATATTTTCTTAGTTCTTCCATACCTCCCATTTTCCAGTCTAATCAAAAACTAGCAAGAGTTTTCCAGGTCTTCTCTGAATTGCCATGCAATGCCACTTTAAGGAACTTTCATTTATGTTGGATTTTTTTTTTTTTTTACATTTTCTATAAGTATTGAATCCCTCTGAGCTACACAGCAATCAGTGGTAAAGTGAAATGGAATCTGAAGTTCCTAAATATTTTCCTTCTTTAAGCATTTTTTCATGATAAAAGGTTGTTTAAAATAGAACTCTTTGTTTACTCAGTTTTCTAGGATAATGTTAAAAAAAATACTTCTCTAGTCAAATAAAAAAAGATATAGAGACAGAAACAGCAATTGGAAGAAGTTGTTTAAAATAAAGAATTTTAATTTCTCTTGTGTTATTGGCTCGAGGTTTGAAAGGTTCAGTTTGGCCTACAAAGGTTTGGAAATTTGGAGAAAACAACCACCTCCAGTGGAACCTCAACTCTCCAAGAGTGGGGAGAAGATTAAAAGACAGTGTAAGGAAGGCTGGTATTGAAATGCAGATAAACGTGAATGATAGAGTTGAGGAAGCCCCACAGAACACTCACACAGCTGGGCTAAAGAGCTCAGTGCAATGGAACAAGAAGCTTAAAGTTCCCAAGGGTCCCAAATAAAAGGTGTCCCTATTAGTGACCAGTATAACAACTCATCCTAGCTGCAAGAATGACAGTACTGGAGACATGGGTTCCCTCGTGGTGATTAGGTGCCTGCTCCCATGCTAAGAAAATTTCACCCTCCTGGACCTTAGTTAGTGGAGGGCAACAAACTACTACTTTATTTCAAGTTACTATCTTATGCCATGTAAAGAACCAAATACTTGCTACTGTTTCTGGTAGTGTTTCAAAGAACGAAGAGACATTTACATAGTAGAACATATCGCCCATGAATTTTTTTTTCTTATAATTGTCTGGGGAAGCATGGAAATGTAAAGAAGCAACTAGATTCCTGATGGAAAATAGCATGAATTTTTTTTTTTCACTTCTGTATGCTAGTTCTCCAACTACCACATGAAAAAACCACTGTACCCATTTTTTCTTTATCACATATGCATGATGCGCACACACACATACACACACAATTTCCCTGAGAGTACAGTAAATACTTCCTATTATCATCAAGTTGGGGCTGCCAATTGATTTCCATGGTTGCAGAAGGAAAAACTGATTCTGGATAACTTGCTAAAGGGAATATTGTTGAAGTTAGTAGAAGCTCACAGGATTTATAGAAAGGCTAGAAACCAGCTTAGAAGTAGATGGCCTACCAGTGTTTACAGTGGCTGTGAAGCTGAGATTATAGAACTGGCCTCATAGCAAAACTGTGTGACCAAGTCCTGCTGCTGGACTGCTGAAGTGAATGGACTCCATCATTTCTCTATTATGTGTGCTGCACTCACCTGTCACATTCTAAATCAGAACCATTTGATTGACCTAGCTTGAGTCAAGTGGAAGCTTCTAAGTTAAGACATAACTGACAGAACACCTGATTTCATCCACAGTGGTATCTGTCCACTGTAAAGAAGTTACTCTCCACCAAAAAAAAAAAATTAAAGTGTGCTGCTAGGAATGGGGGAGGGAAGCAAGGACACCAAATATCAATGAAGCTCCAACACACTTGGTTGAGCAGGAAAAGCAGGAGCAAGAAAGCAGGCACCTAATCACCAGGAGGGACCCGGTGTCTTCAGCACTGTCATTCTTTCAGCCAAGGTGAGTTGCTGTCCCAGTCACTAATAGGGACACCTTTTATTTGGGCTGCTTGGGAACTGTTACGCTTCTTGTTGCATTGCACTGAGCTCTTCAGCTCAGCAGTGTGTGTGTGTGTGTGTTCCTTGGGGCTTCCTCAGCTGTCAACTTACAAAGAAAGGTCTTAGGGTATGGATGAAGCAGTAGAAACTGATTACGCAATGACTACTCTCCTTGTAATCCTTTTCTTGAGCAATTGGGTTCCTCACTGCTGAAATATTCAGTGACCCTAGCATTAAAAATGGTAGGTAATGACAACATGCTATGAAGATTTCATTAAGGAATGTTTGGGAGAAAAAGTAATGTACCATTCATGTAAAAGCACAGTGATTTGAAAAAGGAAAAGAAATAAAACTGGCAAGGTTTGAAGCTAAATTGGAGGCTGACTCGGCAATATTTATTGTATAATTCGTGTTGCAGACATTTTGAGCTGCCTGATTGAACCATTTCAAAATGTCGTGTAATCAGTGATTTCTGAGTGGTGTGGAGATACAGAACACATGCAGACATTTGGCAAAACTTGTCAAAGTCTTAACCTATATTTCTGGAGGAAAAATAGGATTTCTATATTGGAAGTCTGAACTTTATCTACTCCACATCCCACTTTGTGAAATTTACTTTCTGATGAGGAGGATTATAGATTAATGTTTTCAATCCTTGTCTCACTTGAGACTTGGAACTATATGTCTCTTGCTCTTTGGGGTGATTGTTGTGGCAATCTTCTCCACGGCTTCATCTTCTCTTTAAGTCACATCGTACTTCTTCCAAGCCAGCCCAAAATTGCCTTTATATTTGAGCTCTATCTTTCCGCTCTTTCTGTTTCCCCATCCCCGGAATCTATCTGAAGTTGACTTCTTAAGTGGAATTCTTCACTGATGATTTAGAAGCAGCTTATCCTAGAAATTGTACGGTGATACACACTTTCTTTCTTGGGTCTTACACTTAAACTCCCAGAGGCTAGAAATACTATAAAATGCTAACAGTCTGACAGAGGGTAAGGAGTTAATTATTGGCCAGTGCTACACCTAGCCACATCTCATTAAAATGCCTGATAATATATTCAGGGCATCAGGAAGAAATGAAAAGAAAACATCAGAAGGCTGAAGATGAAAGGAGAATGATACAATAATAAGAGAGAGCTTGTAATTTCTCAACTGATGCAATTTTTTTTTCTTTAAAGAACTCACCTCTATTCTGTTTTAAGTCTGCTTTGTGGCAGAGCTATTAGTGTGCTGAGTCACTAGTCACTCATTGACATCAGCAATCAGAGTGGAATCAAGAAACATGATGCCAAATTGGGGCTTGGTCACATTGATGTCTTGTTTCTTAAACATTGGGCAAAAAAGTGATATGACTGCAAAGTAAACAAATAGAAAGGTGCAAGCTAGTTGGAATATACTTACATATGCACATACAAAAACATAAATTCACATACACAATTATGAAGTGAGCAGTTGTGTTATTTTTAGCAACTTGATCTTTCTAAGTTTCTATTAATTTCATGGGTTGACTTTATTGTCTGTTGACAAGTGGAGAGGGCAGAGAAATCATATCATAATAAAAAGGACATGCAGAACCATTAAGATGAAAGGTAGGGGAATATTCAGGGAATAACACATTGTCCAGGTGAATTACAATGTGGGAGTGTTTGCAGAAGGTCATGGGAGAAAATGAAAAATCATGCTTAGAGGAAATGTTGAATCTTTAAAAGAAAATAATCAAAATATATCAGAGAGAAGTATTTATTAGCCTATTCCATGACGTTCTTATGAAGACTGATTATATAGATATTAACAAATACTATACTAGATATACACACATATATTGATGTACATAGAGACATATATTAACACATATGTAATTAGACTATCACTGTAGGTGTTCATATGAAGCACTTTAAAAAATGAAGCAGTCTATAAATACTAAGTCACACTAGAATTATTAAATAGATAATAGTGATACACCACAAGTTTTTTAATAGGATATGTTATTATGAAAGGGTATGCATGCAACCATAAATACTTTAATACAAGGAAGTGAATGCAATAAAAAGTAGTAGGAGATGACTATTGGATTTAAATCTAGACCAGGGCAAATTATAATCTATGGGTAAAATCTGCCTATTTTCATAAATAATTTTTTCTTGCAACACAACTATGCCTATTTATTTAGGGATTATCATGGCTGCTTTTGTACTACAGTAGAAGATTCGAGTACTTACAAGGACCATATGGCTACAAAGTCTAAAGTGTTTATTATCTTCCCTTACTAAAAAATGTTTGCTCATCCCTACTCTAGATAATTAGAATGATAAAAGAAGCTAATTTGTATGAAATAGTAACCATATGCCAGACATTGTTCTAACATGTTACATGACTTAAATCCTTAAACTTCCATATTAGGAAGATACTGTTATCATTCCTCTTTTCTTATTAACAGAGGGGCTGAGTAACTTGCCAAGGGTAGGTGTTAGTAGCAAAATCTAGGTTCACCAAGTTAAGCAAATTAAACTATAGTGTACCTAGTTTAATTTGAATTTCAGTAGACAGTGGATAATAACAGAGTATAAGTATATCCCCTGAAATATTTTTAACATACTTACATTAAAAATTACTGGCTCCAGAGTTGCCCCTTAACAATTACTATGCAGCCTTCTCTGGAAAAGACAT